ATGGTTATTTGTTTGCTCAGCTGCGTCAACATTAGTGAGATGGCTAAGGAAGGGGAGGGGGTGTGTCTTATTGTTTAGTCCACAGAGTTCTTTAAGCTTACCATACCATTGACTGATGTTGGTCTGCTTCAGGTGTTGTAATTTGGTTGGGTAGTGGGACTTCTTTGCAGTGCGGATGACTCGGTTGCGAAGGGACCTGTAGCGGATGTGGTCATTGAGATGAAAGGCTCTGTCTCTCTGTTGCATAAGTCTTTTGATCCGAGGTGTGATCCAGGGCAATTCAGCTGGGTGAGATCTGACGGACTTCTCGGGGAAGAAGTGGTGGTGAGCTTCCGTGGTGATGTTGGTATAATTTATCCATTTGGTTTCCACTTCATCCACGCTAAGTACTTCAGTCCAGGGATGGTGAACTATCCACTGCCCGAAGAGGCGCACTGCAGAGTCAGTAATCGGCCTGTAGGTCTTGATGTAGGGTCTCTGTACTTGAGTGGGAGTGGCAGCTGGGGACCAGAGCACTGATAAGTGTGTGCTACACCCGATAGGAGGCATTGGTTGAGGTGGTTGGTACTGGTCCGCTAAGTCAGTTAAGATAAGGTCAAGGGTATTTTGACCTTGTGTGGGGAAGGTCACAACTTGTGATAGTGATAGCTGGTCCTGGATATCAGTGGTGTCAATTTCATTAAAGTCCCCACATAATACTAACTTGGCACATGGGTACCTAACTCTGAGGTGGTCTGAGGTGGTGATGAGATGATTGATAAGAGTGTCTCTGGTGGGTGAGCGAGGCGGATGGTATGCCACACAGATTATGATGGAAGCAGTGTTGCGCGGGTGGGCCCGTGGCACAACACGTACCCATAATGCTTCCACATCTGCTGGGACTTGTGTGTGTGTGTGTGTCCCAGAAGGTCAGGGTGTGTGTGTGTGTGTGTGTGTGTGTGTGTGTGTGTGTGTGTGTGTGTGTGTGTGTGTGTGTGTCCCTTCTCTCAGGAGCAGGTCAGTGTTTAGGCATGTGTGTGTGTCTCTCCCAGGAGGTCATCAGGCTGTAGGGCATGTGTGTGTGTCCTCCCAGGAGGTCAGGGTTTGTAGGGCATGTGTGTGTGTCTCCCAGAAGGTCAGGGTTGTAGGGCATGTGTGTGTGTCTCCCAGAAGGTCAGGGTTGTAGGGCATGTGTGTGTGTTTCCCAGAAGGTCAGGGTTGTGGGGCATGTGTGTGTGTCCCCCCCTCCCCTCCCACAGGTGGTCAGGGGTGAAGGACATGTGTATGTGTGTGTCCCCCAGGAGGTCACCCCAGTTGCTGGTGGATTAGAGATAAATCCCTTTGGTAAGTATTAAATTTTGAATTCTCACAATACAGTGCAAAAAAAAGCTTCCCTTTTAGTTTATCTTCTCTCATTAATGGTGCACAATTAAAAATATAAAACAAATTCAAGTTTAGTAGCAACTAAAATTTATAAAGGAATTATTAAGACTATATTCATGAAAAATATAGTTGCAGTAAACATACATGTTTGATTTTGGGTACTGTGTATTTTAACTATTAGGTATTCACGAAATGAGTAACAATGAGAAATAAAGTTAAATATGGTGAAAACTTCCTGGGTAGGTGTTTGCCCGGACCCCCAGCTCATTTTATTTTTTCGCCACAAGACCTAGTCACATCGCTGATAAATATTGTTCACTGTAAAAATTACGATCAAATCTCGGATAATGTTAGGGGTATCTCACTCATATGGGGGATATCCAAATGGACTTTCCATCCTCCCCGTCATTTTGGACCTATCTTAGGTGGCAGCAAGTCCTGGAGAGATGACGTTCTGCACCCTCTTTGCTCTAGTTGGCGCTCTTGAGTTTTTATCCAGCAGATGTTTCTTCATTTGTTGAGGTTGAAGAAGAGGAAATTGCCAGTTCCACCATTTCGGAGGAAGTTGAAGCTTCCTTGAGTACCTTTCTTCTCCTTTCCTCCTCTGCCATCTTCCATTGTGCTGCTGTCTCGTCCTTCCTATTTGTGACCAAAGAAACAGAATCCATTGTTGCTCTTCTTCCTGGGCTAAGAGAAAAGCTTGATCTTCGTCATTCTTTATCAAGGGAAGAGCATCAGCATGTGCTGCATCAAACATATCTCGAAGTCGTAGCTTGAATGCCTCTTCCTTCTCCGTTTGCATTTTGCTTTTTTGGGACTTGTTCTTTTTTAGCCCCTTCCACTCTTGGTGAAGTGCAAGGATCTTCTCAATAATGTGATCTTTTCTTTTTGTGGGAATCTTTGCTGTCATTCAAAAAGTTTCCACCTCACTCCATACTAACTTTACACTCTCCTTCAAATCCACTTGGTGGTGAAGGAAAACTCCCAATACTTGCCACCAGATGGGAGTTTAGAACCACAAATTTGCTCCTCACGTTTGTCTAGTAAGTAGAAAACACGATATTTTGCCATAGTCTGTGTGGAAAAAGAAAAGTATTGTAAGTAGTGTATTCCACTTTGCTGTCACTCGGAATCGAGTGTGAAGATCATCCAGCTATGATAAAATGATATGAATTATTAAGGATGTCACCTTTGTTGGTGAGTTCTGATGTGACTAGAGAGGCCAATACTGAACCAACAGAGTTGTTCACAGATGTTGCACATGTAGAGGGCTACATCTAGTGCAGGAGGGGCGGCAGCAGCATCTTTCCAGCATTGACGCTTGTCTGCCTCGGTTTGCAGTCAGGCCAACTCGAAAGTTTTGACACCTCATTTGGTGCTCCTCCAAGCGTTACGGTGTAGAGTAATTGTCTCCGAGGTGAGGGGGTCGATTTGGCGTCGTTTCAGTTTTTGTCTTAAGACTATCGTTCTACCTTTTCAGTTGCCCGCTGGCGTTACGTTTACTATTCGTTAGGTGACTGTAAAGTAGCTGCTTTGGCAGTCTACTGTCGTCCATGCAGATAACATGGCCAGTCAAGTGTAGTTGTTCATAGATAATGGTAGCCTCGATGTTCCTACACTTGATGTCAGCGAGAATACTGGCATTTGTTCTCGTGTTTTCCCAGTGAACTTGGAGGATGGAACGTAACTACATTGGTGAAAGTTTTCAAGTGCCTTGAGGTGCCTCCTGTATGTGACCCATGTCTCACTGCTATATAGCTCCTTACAGCTGAAGACACGGGTACAGAGTCTGCTAAAGGCTCGAGATGCACATTTGATCTGATGTTGAATCTCTTCATCGATGTCTGCAGTGGTGGACAGGTGGGAGCCAGATACTGAAAGTGGGTAACATTAGAGAGGGTCGTAGTGTATTCGACACATATGCAAAAGTTCGCATTTTGCAAACAGCGTTCCCCTATTCATTAATCACGTTGAAACCAATTCGCCTTGACAAAACACTCTTTGTAGCAGAAATGACTGTAACTGGTATGAGGGCTGTGATGTCATTCAAGACAGTGGCCAGCATTCAGCTGGCTGGATCTTGCATTTAGCTGGCTGTGTCTCGCTTTCAGGTGGCTGGATCTCGCTTTCGGCTGGCTGGATCTCGCAAAATTCACGATATTTTACACCAAATATAAGACTTGGTTACATTACGTAGTGCGTGCGAAATTCAAAAACGCAAAATGAAATCGCTCGAAATATGAGATCTTACTGTATTACGGAATTTTTAACATATTTCGTAACAGCAAAACATTACAAATTGTGGGGGATTCAGAATTAAGGGAGTATGAATTATGGGGGTTTTACTGTACAGTATGATTGATCAATTAGTGATGGCTTTTTGAGGTCTCTAGCCCCATCGCATAACATTCATTGCCTGTCCTATTGTTTGTAAGGGTTCAGAAATGGATACAGCTCAGCTCTAAAGAGTTGGGTGCCTGCTGTACAGACGATAATTATCTCAGGTTATCATCATCAGTACAGTAGTTATAAATCCAGCTTTTATATTTACAATAATTTTTTTTTATTTAATTAAAAGTACAGGGGGTAATTATAATGTGTTTAAGTAAGCAATAACATATTTTTAAGTCTGGATTTGGGCTAGGTAGAATTTAGCCTCCTGGAGACAGCAACTGGGAGATTCATTAGGCTATAGGAGACAGCAACTTCAGGATGCAGGCTTATTATTTTAGCCATTTTTCAGACAATAAAGTGCACCTTAAATGCCATAAAATGTTGTGTACTCCGACTTAATTTTAGAAAATCATTACTTATAATTTGTTTATGCACAATTATAGCATTATTTAATTGGTGGGAGGTAAATACAGGGTTGAGCTGACTGTCTTTATTTCCCTAACAAACCCAATTGGCTCTGACACGAGAAGAGGTGAGGTGCACCCAGGGTACATATATCCCTGCCTTCCTCCACCTGCTTTATTCTTTCTGAAGATGGGTTCTGTGTAGCCCAAAAAGTCAGCTCAACCCTGTGTTTTCCTCCCACCTATTAAATCCAATTGTCGTCATGGTTCGATTACATAGTATTATTTGTTTGTTTAGACTTGATCCAATTTTGCATCCCATTTAGTAGTTACAGTGATTTGATATTTTTCCTGTGAATTATAAAACAAGTCATACTCTATAAATACTGTATTAACAGGGAAATTAAAGTGCACAGAACAGTACTGTATGTGTGCTTATATTCAAAACGAAGACTGGGTGTATTACAGACTGTGATAAGCAGAGCACCCCACTGCTATAAAAATATGTGTTCTGTAATTATTTTATTGTGAAATGTGATTTGTGATAACCATGACCTTGATATAGCAGGGATTTACTGCATCAGAATTCAACTGATTATTTATTTAATTTTTTGTATAATGAACCACTGTACTGGCTCCTTCAGAGATTCATTGAAAGTATGAGGCATGACAATGATGAATAAGTACAGAACTAATCTTTGAACATGCTAGATATGTAAATATGTAAGCTGTGTATAAGGTTGTTTGGCTCGTACCGTCTTGATGGGAATTTGTGGGTCACCCTTTAGAATAATTAAGGAGTATTAAATTGGTAATCTTAATTTCCTCATCTTCCTTTAGGTGAATGCTCGTCTGTCTCGGTCATCTGCTTTAGCATCTAAAGCTACTGGGTATCCTTTAGCCTATATAGCAGCTAAGCTTGCCTTAGGAAGAGCTCTTCCTGATCTGATGAATTCAGTAACAGCTTCGACTACTGCCTGCTTTGAGCCATCTTTAGACTACTGTGTTGTGAAGGTGCCTCGCTGGGATCTCTCCAAATTTAATAGAGTGTCTACAAAGGTAAAAAAAAAGTGGTTGGCATTCATATAATTAAAATTATTATATCTTTTATTGTGTAAAATTTGATAGATAGTATCTACAGTATATTCTTTAATGTAAAATATTTAATGCCTTTTGATCAGAGATTATAATAATACAATTGGGTTTATATTATCTTCAGTTGATTTTGACTATTTGGGTACAGAAAAAGCAAATTACAATATTATGTTACCTCACTGGATTCAGAGTTGCATCGGAGAATCCATAACCGTGTAATCAAACATTTGTAACCGCAGTACACTTCCCTTCCCTACATTATGTACATCTTGATAATTATAACCACTGTTCTGCTATCCTATGTTGTATTTTAGATAATACATTTTTTTAGAAGAACCTTTTCATTTTCTCTAGTAAGTATTTGTCCCATGCAATTAAAGTTTGAGTGCGTGAGGTTTTACAGTGGAGTCTCTATAATTCACGAAGAACAAATTAGTGTTCTTAAATTTGTGGATACCTCTTTCAAATCCTGAGTTATAGTTCAATTAATTTAAATGGAAATAATTAGCTAATAAAACATCAAAAAATAATTAATTTTCCCCCAAAAATCCCACGGTCAATCCCAGATGAGATATTATGCCAAAGGATATTCTCAGTGTCTTGTTTACAGAGTAAACAGCTGATTGTTCCCTCTGACACCACTCTCCCTTATAATGTTGCCAACACTCACCATCTCTCGTGCACCGTTGTTGTCGCTGCTTAACACAGGATCTGTCTTGGGCACTTGGTAAATAATATTGTAGCATATTTTTCAAAACATAATAAATATTATTGTAGTGTAAAATGCATTTCTATATGCCCTGGTTTATTCACTGATCAGTTATCTAAGTGCAAAAGTAGCCCTGTTGAGCCATCATGTATCAATTAATTTTAAAATAGAAATTATAATGTAAAATGTTTTTATTGTTTAGTAGTAATGTTAATGTGTGTTCTGTGTGTGAGTCTTGTCATATCACCTCACCACCTGCCTCATCACCTCACCCCTCGCTTCAGCTCACCTGGCCGTTACATTTATTTAGTACTGTATGTACATTTAAAAATATTTGTTTACTCAGTATTTGTACTGTAAATAGATTATTTTGTGGCAACCAAGGCATGGCCAGGTGTAAAAAGTGAACAGAAAATGAACAAATATTAGGAAATTGTCGAATACATGTAATGTACAGTACAGTGGTCCCTCGGTTAACAAACAATTCGTTCCAGAGTCGTTCATTAACCGAAAATTTTGTTAACCGAATCCATTGTTTCAATGGGATATTGGGTAATTGGTTCCAGCTCACAGAAAAGTTACATAAAAAGTAAAAAAAAAAAAAAATGCAGTAAAATACACTTGAGGTGTTTATGTTGTAGAAGGTTCCTGGTTGTTGATGATGATGGGAATTAGAAGTGAGGGTGGAGGAGAAGGGAGAAGAGAAGGAAGTGGGGATGGAGGAGAAATCACCTTTCAGGGGACCCATGCTTGATGCAGTAATTTCACCAATAAAATTTTAAGTTCACAAGGTGTAATTCAAGATTATTTTATTTAACTCAACACTGCACTGCGCTATATATTTTCAATATGTTAACTAAATTTCAGAATGGCCAATAATTTCAATGTAAAAATGCAAAAATATTCAAGACGCCAAGAAAATCGATATTCACTCCACTGTCAACAAAGCCAAATTGAAGCCTGGTGGCCGAGTCAAGAGGCTGATGGGCGCACAAGAAACTAGTTCCCTGTACTGCATATATTATCAATATGTTAACTGAATTTTAAAATGACTAATAATTTTAATATAAAAAAATGCAAAAATATTAAGAGCACAACTTTCTTGATATTTACTCCACTGGAAACAAATGTAAACATAGAACAGATTACTGAATTGGCAGACTAGCCCATCAGCTGATCAGCTGATGCTCACAACAAAACTTGTTGTTCGTTAGGATTTTGTTAATTGGAGTTTTGTTCGTTTACCGTATTGAAGATCCTTATGGGAGGTAATTCGTTAACCGAAATTTCGTTAATCGAACCGTTCGTTAACCGAGGGACCACTGTACTGTTTATAATATATTGATAATGCTGTAAAAAATGACACAATATAAATAAACAAAATGAAATGTATAGATTATAGAGGACTCCCCAGCAGCTAAGCATGATGCAATCAATCATAACGCCCAGACCTTTTGTCCCCAGGCCCAGAGCAAAAGGCTGTGGAGAGATTTTTTTCTTATTTTTCCGGTACAGTACATACTTCACTTAATGTGTTTCACATTAACAATTCATCACAATAATGACAGTAATGAAATGCAACACCTCGGCACATTAATGATATGTTTCAACACAATAAAAATCAGTAGGCAAGTTGATAGTCACTCTGGGCGGCCATCTTGATGACGTCAGGTAGCGGGGTGGTTTGTTTTGATCAGAGCGTGTGAGACTAAAGGATCAGGTGGTGGTGGGGAAGCAGCATGGTGTGAGAGTGTGGGGGCAGGGGGGGCACTAACACCACTCCCCTGCCTCGGATGATGACAAACAGTCTCATTAAGCAGTTCAGTGGTTGTCTAAAGGTTAGTTATTATTAGTTACTAACTCTACATGCAGTATTAATGTGTGTGAATATGTGGTTGTAACATGGGAGGGGGGGTGAAAGAGTCTGAGGGCTGGTACCAATTGACTCATTTAGCATGTAAACTACGTATACACAACACATTAACGATTTTCACTTTAACGACCGTATTTGTGGTACCAATTAGTCGTTAAAGTGAAGTATGGACTGTAATTGCACATTATTTCATAATCTTAATTTGCTCCCAGACCAAAAAATAATAATTGGGAGAGATTTTCCAGATTTTATTTTATTATTATTTTTTTTAGGGGGGGGGGATTTCATAAAATGCCTCCAATTTACAACCTCGTAATTTGTTCCCAAATCTGGAATTGAGAGAATTTTGCCAGCAAATCTCGAGCAAATTTAAATTCCGGCTATTGGAGAGTTTCAGCTAAGAGGGATTCTGGCTAACAGATATTTATACAATAACGTCCAGTGTACGTAGTAATATCTCCGTTAGCCAGAATCCCTCATACCCGGACTCTCCGACAGCCGGAATTGAAAATTTCTTGGAAAATTGTTCCTTCCAACCTACTGTATGTTTGAAACTATCCAGTGTATTCGAATTAATGATGATGTATGGTAACTTGTTCCACTCATCCACTACTCTATTTCCAATCCAATGTTTACCTATTTTGCGCCTAAATCTAAATTTTTCTAATTTAAAACCATTGTTACGAGTTCGCTCCTGGTTGGATAGTTTGAGTACCTTTGTAATGTCACCTTTGTTTAGCCCTTACTTCCATTTATAAACCTCGATCATATCGCCCCTCACTCTACGTCTCTCAAGGGAGTGCAAATTAAGATGTTTTAACCTGTCTCTGTACTCAAGGTTCCTAATGCCCGGGATTATCTTGTCATTCTCCTCTGAATTCGTTCTAGGGATTCTATATTCATTCTGTAGTACGGTGACAAGAATTAAACTGCATAATCCAAGTGAGGTCTTGCAAGTGCAAGATATAGTTTTAGGATGACCTCGCTAGTCTTGTAACTAACACTCCTTTGTATGAACCCAAGTACTTTGTTAGCCTTGTTTCGAGCAAATACACATTGTTTACTTGGTTTAAGGTTCCTACTTCTCATTACTCCTAAATCTTTCTCGCAGTCGGATTTCTCTACAACATAGTTGTTCATCTGGTATTTGGTTTCTCTGTTTACATCTCCTAGACTAAGTACTTTACATTTGTCCACATTGGATTTCATCTACCATTTTCCAGACTACAGTAGAACATCTCAATATAGCGCGAGATAGGTTCCAAGAGAGGTCGCTTTAAACCTAAATCGAAGTGTTGTTTTAATGGAATAATTTAGTTTGGTACTTGAGAGAAACACAAAACACTAAAAAGACTGAGAGTCTACCAAGATGCACCTCAACCCATCTCCTAGAATAAACAAAACATTGTTTTTTGTAGTATTCTGTTAAAACAAACACTCATAGATCAACACAGCTAAAATTAAGGGATGCAAAATGGTCTGTTTACTGGCTGGTAAGATGGGGGGGGGGGTGATATGTTTGACAGTTAATGCCAAGGTCTAGTGCTTATTTATTTATCTGTCCTTAAGAGTGACTTTAAGTTTTTCTTTTATAAAATGTCGCCATACTGACATGGGAAAATATAATTAACATTGCTGGAATTCTTATAAGATAGTGATTAATTTGACGTTTATATTCAAATTATTCACTGTCTTGCAAGGATTCCAGCAATACAAATTATATTCTCCAAACTTTAGTCTGTGACATTATATAAGATAAAAACTTTAAGCCTAAAACACCAAACCCTAGCTGGGAGATGGGGGTGGGGGGAGGGAGGAAGGGGAGGGAAGTGACAGTGACATGTTTAACAGTTTTTGCCGAAGGTCGAGTGAAGTACAGTGGTCCCTCGGTTAATGAGCACAATCCGTTCCAGCAGGTTGCTCGTTAACCGAAACCATTGTTTCAATGGGTTTTTGGGTAATTGGTTCCAGCTCACCGAAAATTGCCTAAATTCAACAAAAATGTTAGAAATTGACACTTACCTTGAGGTGTGTATGTAGAAGGCTCCTGGATGATGATGCTGATGTGAATTTGAAGTGGGAGGTGGAGGAGGAGAAGGGAGAAGAGAAGGAAGTGGAGGAGAAGCATTTTACTGCTTCTTGGAAGGTGAGTCACCTTCCATTAAAATGTCAGGAACCTCTGGACTGACATTTTCTCCACCATGAACATCCTCTCTCCTTCTTGAAGTGGAAGGCTGAGGGATAGCATCTTGTTCCCTCTGCTTTTACTGAAGAAAGTGTCAATTGTGGTCTGTGGGGCATTTCTCCTCATCACCATTAACTTATGTTTAAAGAAGGAGACCATTGAGTCCTCAACATGACACAAAGTTAGTTCAGTTTTTT